ATGACAGTTTTGTCGAATTGAGAAGAAATTAGCACATATATAAACCTTTGTTTTTATTTTCGAAATTCTGGCTCCCATAAAAATATCCTGTATCCGCCTATTGCTAACATACTGATTTATCTCAGACGAAGTGTCCTCACTTCATGAATAAAGCGAGATATATAATTAAGTTTTACAAAAAAAGTTAAAAGTACAAACATCAAATACAACGATAAATATGAATATAGAATGTTGATATCTGGAAGTGCTTGAGTGTTTAATTCATGTCCTCATTTTTATTCGGAGTGGGGCATGACCCAAGTATTCATAATAGGGAGTATTCTGGTTAATGAGTCGGAAATGGATATTTTCGATTGGCATGGCCTAAGGAAATATTAATACGTTCAAATTAAATCATTCAGACTATGGATTATGCAATGTTTGGTGTGATTAATCCATAAACATACAGTTCTACTTATACTGTCTAAAATTAAACAGGATGCAGTTCAATATATCGTTGCCTTATCTCAAAATAAGAACTCAAAACAGTTTGGATTTTACATTGGGACATGGAGGTAAATTAGGATTTATATATATTTGTACATTCATGTGTGAGGAAAATAGTAATGTGAGGGCGCTGTTTGTCAAATGAATCAATTTTACATTTGAGGCTACAACCAATAACTGTTGTATTAAGACCTAAAATGAATGACTACTGTACATAGGATAGGAGAAAATAATTAATACAAATATAAATATGGAGATGAAATTTAATTAAGGTCTTGTTTGGTAAAAATCAAATTTCCTAATTGTTGTTTGGACTAGCAAAATAGATTTGTTTACCTGCCTTAGCAAACTTAGACAAAGGATCTGTCTTGTATCATAGGTTTGGTAAATTGGTGATTATATCCACTTGGCAAATGCACTGTCCAAGCTGTAGACCACATCTTTATACACCAAGGTATGAATCTAAGTATTTGTTTGTCTCAATGGCTTTTATTGCAAACAAATTCTAAATAGTTTTATTCGATTGTGTTTATGTTTGTTATACTGTGTTAAGGCTGAACCGTAAATTGTATTTTTCAATGGTTGTCATCTTGAATAAAGTTCCAGCCAAGTGCCTCCACATATTTAGAGAGGATGAACAAATACAAAACTATGCTAACAGAAAATGGTGGTTCTCTCCTCAGTTCCATTCTAATGCTTAATTTGCTGGTCCAATTACAAACAATGGTGACATTTCTTTCCCCGTTTTATCCCAGTTATCTGGTTCTTGGTCATTTATGAATTGTCTTGTATCATGAAATATTAACTCTTGTGTCAACATGTAGTCCTAACTCAGTTGTGTAATTGTGGAGGTAGTGAACTGATTTCTGTAATCCCATAATGTTGACTATAGTTGCACGACATACTGTAAATACTTCACTGAAAAGACATTTTGGCTGTTTTGTTTTACATTTATTTTCACAGAATATTGTTGGGGTTTAATGTAAAACATAGAAATAAAAAGTTTTTTTTTTTTTTCATTGATTCAACCCTTCACTGAGAAAAGGCAAAATAAAGTACCTTACAGTAAGATGTGGACCATTAGAACTTAA